GTGTCATCACTGAAAATAATTCATGACCAGCCATGTGCCCCCTGCTTCTCCATCATCTCTGAAAGTCCTGTTCACTGAGATTCTGTTTTATTACATATATGAAATCAAGCAGGAACACAGCAGATGCCTCCAGATTTGCTTTGTTGGTGAAATGAGAAAATGAATGAAAGATACTTTACTTGTGGCAGCATAATTTTAATGACCATTTTGTTATTATGTTGTAAGTTACCTCTTCTACAAGCTTCATGTTGTCAAATATCATATTTCTATCTTACTATATTTTATATTCCAAGTGGTAAAAAGCAAGCACAGAGCAGGCGCCCAATACACACACACACACACACACACACACACACACACACACACACACGCAAATGTTTGTTGAGTGAGTGAATGAATAGGAATGAATAAATAAGAATACATATTACAGTCAATGACAACTGCACATACCCACAATTAATAGTCAGAGGGTAAGGTGACTAAGATCACCTGTATAAGGACCATAGACAAGTTGTGTGTGCTTCCAGGAAATGGAATAAAAAGTCAAGCTAAACTACTTTTTGTTATTGTTTTGTTGGTGACTTTCATTTTCAATAAAAGTATTGTTTATATGTATGTGTATCTTTGTGAATGTATATGTAAAGGTGTGACCAGATACCTATAGTGGCCAGAGCAGGGAATTAGATCCCTTGGAAATGAATTAGTTTCAGTGGGCTGTCTGATGTGAGTGCTGGAATGTAAACTCTGGTCTTCATGTTAGACCAGCAAGCTCTCTTAACTACTGAGGCATTTTGAGCCCTATATATTTATTTTAAAGGTGTTTCTTTTGATTGTTTGTGACTGGGTCTCCTGTATTTCAGGCTTAGTCTCAAATTCGCTGTGTAGCTGGGGATGGTCTTTAACTCCTGATCCTCTTGCCCTCACCTTCTGAGTGTGGGATTACAGACATGTGTCACCAGACTTCATTTATAAGGCACTGGGGCTTGAATGCAGGGCTTTGTGGTGCCAGCTAAGTGAGCTATGTCCCTAGTCCCACTATAGTCTACAACTGAATAAGCAGAGTATAATAACATTGGAATCAATTTTGCCCTGGATTATTTCAACATATTAATTCATCTGATTCTTATTATAACACTACAAAATAGAAGCAACTACTAACATCACATAACATAGAGGAAGGAACCATCACCCAGGAAATGTAAGCTGTTGCTCAGGACCACATGGTTTGCAAGTATCTGGGTGGGTAGGAGCCCAAGGGTCTTGTCTCAGAGCCTGTACATGTGACCACTCTCCACCCCACTCCAGATTAGCCTGATTAGTTAATGAGGAAAGCAAGAACAATATTTTTTATTTAATTTTTTTTACTGTGTGTGTGTGTGTGTGTGTGTGTGTGTGCACGCACAGGCACAGGCATGTGATCTCATTTGGCATGGATCATATGTTTTACTTATCTGTTCCCACTTGCTTTGTGACCATTGTGCAACAAGTCATGTGACACTGAGGTATGGTGTCGAGACTCTTAATGAGGCCTAGACTCTTCTAGGCTAAGGGGCAAAACCAACTGGTTAGCTGAGAGGCTGTCCTAGAGGTTATCAAGGAAACCCATCATGGAAATTAAATATAAATCAGGAGCTTGCTGGTAAATTAGAGAAGTATTTTTAGTCCATAAAAATAAAAAGTAGGGTAAGAATGAATGTGCTTTCAGAGAAGGAGTGGCATTCCAAAGCAATCGGGTCATTTGACAAGGGAGTGCAAATGTCCGATTAAATTGGCAGCCCTAACCCTTTGCTGAACAGGAGTGACTCAGCAAGCTTTGCAGCTGGATGAGAGTAGCCTCTGTTGAGGCTACACAATTTCCATTTCTCTGATTCCATATTTACCAAGCAGCCTTCAAATTTAAATTCAATTTCTCAGTGTTCCATGACCTGGATAAGGAATCAGGAAAAACAAAACAGAACAAAAAACTCACAAAAATACAAATAACCTGCCTGCTTTAAAGCAATAATTTTCATAGAAAACCATTAAGTTTGTCTAAGAAATGGCAGATGGGGTTTAGTGTTGTGTTGGGGCCCTTCCTGGCTCTGAGGGCAGCACAAGAAAATGAAAGAAGTAACATGGCTGTTCTCAGTTGAGTCCTATGTTTAGACAGTGTTGCTTCAGTGCAGCGCAAACCTGACCAGCAAGAGGTGACCATCTATTGCTTGTCTAGTCCTCTGCATATCACCAAAAGGTATAAAATCTCCAAGAGCACCCCTCTGGCATCCCTCCATTTTTACAGTGGGATTGGCATGAGTTATCAAAGGACTGAGAATGCCTGGCCTGTGGTAATGTCCGCTGAATGTTGGCCTCTAGAACTTTTAACTAAAATTATATCTGTATCTATGTATTTATCTGTGTACCTGTCATCTATCTATCTATCTATCTATCTATCTATCTATCTATCATCTGTCCATCCATCCATCCATCCATCCATCCATCCATCCATCCTTCTATCTGTCTCAGTATGTGTATATGCCACATGTGTACAGATGCCCATGGAAGCCAGAAGAGGCCATCAGACGTCCTAGAACTGGACTTACAGGTGTTTGTAAATTGTCCTACATAGGTGCTGGGAACTAACTCTGGTCCTCTGCAGGAGCAGCAAGTGCTCTTTACCACTGTCTTGGCTCTCCAGCCCCATGGATTTCCTTTTATGTTGTGGCCTTGGGAAAACTTAAGACACCAAGTTTGTCTTGGTCTTGGAAATAACTTCAACATGCTCTCTCTCTCTCTCTCTCTCTCTCTCTCTGTCTGTCTGTCTCTCTGTCTCTACACATGAACACACACACACTCACACACACACACACCCACACACACACACACGCGCACACACACACACACACACACACACACACACACACACACACTTGCTTGTACACACCACTCCTTACTTTTCTAAGTTTTCTTTCTGCTATCACAGACTAGAGTCATTCGCACTGTCCGGAGAGGATGGATGGAAGGAATGTGAAGTTAATATGACTTAAAAAAATAAAGCAAACGAATGAACTTTTTTCTACCTGAATCACTTGGCTTACTTATTAGCTCTTAATGCCAGAGACCCTTTAGCATTACCCAATACGCTTCGGTGTATGATTTCTCCCTGCATTAGTCCTAAAATGATATATAATCATCTGGGTAGGGTGGCACATGCCTACCTCATGAGGCTG